TCCGAGCACCAGGCAGATCCAGGCAGGTCATCAGGTACCTTTTCAGTGTCTGCCCAGGTACGGAATGCTGGGCGACCATTGAACAAGGCTGTGCTCCACCAGAGGGCCAGCTTTTTTTTCACTTCTAGGCATTTAGGATTCTTTGATGAGTGGAAATTTGACAATAACAGCCCTTTTTTCATTTAAGATTTTTTTACGGTTTTTTTTTTGTAATCCTTTTGAAATCATAGGTACTCAAGATTAACATGAGTACCTATAGAGATTAACATGATTAACAAGATTAACATGAGATTGGGTGAAACTGTGTGTGTTATGCCCCCTTTAAGAGACAGGGGAAATGCTCCGAGCACCAGGCAGATCCAGGCAGGTCATCAGGTACCTTTTCAATGTCTGCCCAGGTACGGAATGCTGGGCGACCATTGAACAAGGCTGTGCTCCACCAGAGGGCCAGCTTTGTTTTCACTTCTAGGCATTTAGGATTCTTTGATGAGTGGAAATTTGACAATAACAGCCCTTTTTTCATTTAAGATTTTTTTACGTTTTTTTTTTTTGTAATCCTTTTGAAATCTTTTATAAATATCTCTGCTGTCACCTTTGATCAATTTTAAGCAACCTTGCCTTATAACATTATTAATTTCAGCTTCCTAAAGAACCCAGCGTTATGTAGACAGTGGATACAGTTTGTTTTTCCGGAGCAGCAACGGAGTTTCACAAGTATGTTTGTTGACGAACGTTTTATAAACAAGGCCCAGTTCGATGCTGGATTTGCACATCGTTTAATACTGAAAGATGGAGCGGTCCCAGCGATAAAAGATCCCGGTCATGATCTGGAACTGCAGACGGTAAGTGAAACGGCATCAAATGTCTGTTTTGTTGGCATTCGGCTCCCAAGTGCTCGTCACTCTTTAGCTCCGCCATCGGCACGCCTCCAGGAGCTCTGCTTTTTCCGGAGAGAATCGTAAAGCTGTATCTTTCTTTTACAAATATGATAAAACTAAAGACTTTTTGGAGATATGAAGGATGCAGTACTACTCTATAGGTACTCAAGATTAACATGAGTACCTATAGAGATTAACATGATTAACAAGATTAACATGAGATTGGGTGAAACTGTGTGTGTTATGCCCCCTTTAAGAGACAGGGGAAATGCTCCGAGCACCAGGCAGATCCAGGCAGGTCATCAGGTACCTTTTCAATGTCTGCCCAGGTACGGAATGCTGGGCGACCATTGAACAAGGCTGTGCTCCACCAGAGGGCCAGCTTTGTTTTCACTTCTAGGCATTTAGGATTCTTTGATGAGTGGAAATTTGACAATAACAGCCCTTTTTTCATTTAAGATTTTTTTACGGTTTTTTTTTTGTAATCCTTTTGAAATCTTTTATAAATATCTCTGCTGTCACCTTTGATCAATTTTAAGCAACCTTGCCTTATAACATTATTAATTTATAAAACTTTTTTTTTTTATGGTAGTGTATTAAAAGAGTTTTGAGAGGGCTAGAAATAGTTGGTAGTGTCTACATTCCCTTCAGCCATGACTATATTCCAAATATAGCACTGCCTCGAGTACCTTACAGTTCCCCCCCCCCCAAATGGTTACTAGACAATAAAAATATTAATATAATACTAATATAAAAAAGATTTATTATTTTATTACTATTATTGTTACTGTTACTATATAATGCACAGCTAGAACACATCCAGGAATGATTTGTTTAATATCTGGGTAAAAACATCTGATAAACCTCAAGAGCAGATTTACATCCATTCTAAATCATAAACATTGTGAAAACAGCTGAATGTCATTCCAACATCGGACAGGGAAGATTAAGTTTTCTATAACAGTTGCAAAAACAGTCTAAAAAATATTACAGGTGCATTACTGGACCAACAAACTGTGAAGAAGCTAAAACCAGTTTCAGTCTGCCTTCTTAACACAGTAGATTGACCTCAGATATAGAGGTTTCAGATTTTTTTTTTTTTTATCAACATTTGTCCTTAGAATAGATTTTTAGACGCCTTTATTATGTGTCTGAACTGAGTGCAGTTTCTTCATTAAAACCAATTCATATGAGCTTCAAAATCAACAATACATATCTCTGAGAATAAATAAGGCACAACCAGATACACAGATATAATATAAATACAAAATAAGAGCAAAATATAAATAGAACATAAGGACAGGACCAAGCAATTTTGGTGACCACTGACTTCCATTCTATAGAGAAAAAAAACCACACTAAAACATTTCTCAAAATATCTTCTTTTGTGTTCCACAGAGAAAAGAAAATATCCCTTTAATTCCTGACTGACTGATATTACATACCACAGCTGACTACTAGCTCTGTCAACACACTCTCACTGTTCTCAGCGTGGGTTTGTCTATATATAAGATTTGTTGGTGTTCTCAAGGTTGCACAGCACATTGAGCTAGTGTTTTGTGGGGACACACATTATCAAATGAACAAGATTTTTTTTGGAAAACAGACACACAGAGTCAGATGAACACAATAGGGTCTTTTGTTAGACTCGTCTGACCTCACTCATCTGTCAGCTTTACAGTTGTGTTCGACCATGTGTTTGCTGGCCCCCGTAACATCCACAACTCTCCCATTTTCCATAAACTGCCTATGAGTCACGGCACAAGTCCCTGAGCAAGAGGTGCACACGTCAGATTAGTTGATGTGGCCCGTTTCCTCTGCAAGGACAGCGGCATTTGCATACTGTTTGCTGCAGGTTAGCATGCCAGTCCGGCAGCTTGTATCACTATCAATCAATGTCACAATGAGCGCGGAGCAAAGAGCATTAGCTCGTGTCAGATCTAATCAGGGCTGATGCCAGGCCAGTGCCCTCACTTTCACAGAGCTGACGATAAAGTCTGCAGACAAACCGGAGTTGCTCTTTCAACAGAACCTCAAACGACTCTGCCCACGAACTACAAAGCAAAGAAGCTTTCCTGCTTTAAAGTCCATTTTACAGCTTATGTATTCTATTAGCTTGAGTTTTGGCTGGTGCATATGAATTCTGGGCACGTTTAATTGATCACAAAAGGTTGGTTTTCCGGTCATGGCAGCTGTGCAATTACATATATTGGACTTGAGTGCACTGCAGGGGAAATGTATAGATTTTTACATAGCATATGACTGTTATTTTATATGTCAAAGGCTTGGTATTGGCATACAAACTGACGGATCGCAATAAATGAGCATCATGAAAAAGATCCTGCATGTTATCCAGCCTAAGCCCTTGAAAATGATGCTTTTGCTATGAGAGGCTTGCAAAATGTAATACACTTTTGCTAAAGGGAACATAAAACAAGACAAATCAATTTCACTGGCCAGCAAATATGATAAAAGATAAAACGCAAGATTAAAAAAACCAAACAATATTCAAACATTATTCCATTAAAAATGCCTTGTAACTAAATGTGATTGAACTTCTTCATAGAAGGAAATCCATCTAGAGCTGATAGATCCTGACTGCAGGGCTGGAGTATTTTTTGGAGCCACTTTGCCTGACTTGGCCAACGGCTGAGAAAATGTACCAGCAAAGACTCACATTTCATCTCAAGGGAGCGAAGCATGCGCATCTAAGAATTGCAGCGTTTAGGCATCCGCATTCACAGACCAACGCTGTAAAAAGGTCTGGGAAGAAAGCATTGCTCTCCATTTCTGTGTCTGTTTGTTTGTATCCTCTAAGGAGCCTGCGGTAGCTCTGTAGATGTTTTGGGACTTCTAAACTATCAGCGGTTGAAATGAATATACCGTGTTTGTTACCGAAGCGGGCTGAATGGAATCTGAGGAGCAGGTCTGTGAGTGAGAGAGTGAGAGGAAAATGCTGTATCTGTACTGTCCAAGCCCAAACAAGTTATGTATGTCAGAGTGCTTTACTGGCCTTTAAGCAATTAAGCCTTAAGAGCGCTTTCAATCCACAGATCCATAAAAGCAAGACTTAAGTGCTCCAACAAAACAAAAGGTATGATTCCTTTGAAAAATTTGTATGGGTGTATAGCAGTAGTTAGGGCGCTTCAAAATAAAGCAAAATTATTAAACAAAATGCTGAATGAAAATAATACATTGAAAATAAAATTATATACACTACTGTTCAAAAGTTTGGGGTCAGTAAGATTACAAAAAAAAAAGAATACTTTTATTTGAAAAGAATACATTGAATTGATCAAAAGAGAATGTAAAAACAATGTAAAAAAAATCCACGATTTTCCACAAAAATATAGCCGTTTTCAACATTGATAATAGTAATGGTTGCTAAACATGTAAAATTATTACATAGTATATTAAAATAGAAAACATGTAAACTGCAATAATATTTCACAATATTACTGTTTTTATTGTATTTCTGATAAATAAATGCAGCCTTGGTGAACATAAGAGATTCATTTAAAAAGAGAGTGTATTAGATTATATTATAAAAATATGAATAAAATATTATTAATTAAAAATAATAAAAGTAAAAATTAAGTAAAAGATAAATAAATAAATGAAAATAAAATTAATTAAATTAAAATAAACTGAAAAAAGTCACAGTCACATCCATGTGTGCTATATGTTTTATTTTTGATAAAAGTTACAAATTGTTCTTATGTAAAGCCTATGTTGATATTTTATTTATTGATTTTTTTAAATTGACTTATGCAGTTCTTGATAAAATTAAGAACATGTTTACATTTGAATGACACAAATGTTGGTACTGTGTTGGGTCACCACTTGATGTCTAATGTAATGTTTGTGAACAGAAGCAAAACCAGCTGAGAAGCATTCAAGTACAAGATATAAATGAAGGTTTCATGGAAAAGAGTGAGATAGCAAGCTGTGCGAGGTGTGTATTTAGACTCACTGATGAAGTTGGTCTGGCCAGTGTAGATGGTGTACTGAAGCTCATAGGAGGTGACGCTGAATTCATCTTCAGAGGTCCAGTGCACTGTTACGGTGTCATGCGAGGCCGTGCAGAGCTCCTCACGTATAGACGGAGGGTTGGGTGCTGGAAAAGAAGGCAATTGTCGAGACGGGATGTACTGATTCACTTCTGCTGATGTAATTCTGGCCATATCCCGGATACAGCATGTATTCATTATCTTTGCACTACATACACAGAAAGCACCTGAAGAAGATGGTTTCCGTTTTCTCACTGGTTTTACCTGTCAAATAATCCAGTCCTTCCAGAATTTTCTTTTCTCTGGAGAAATCAAGGGCAAAATTGTCAAAAGCCTCGTTCAGATTGACGTCTGGGATGAGGACCTGGGAGGAGGCGGTGGCCATGGCAACTCTGGGAGGAAAGAGAGGCACTAGCAATTAATTTATAAATGTTTCTATTTACAACAGTCTATTTACAGGCTATAAGACTGTATGTGATTTCACCCACAGTGACAGAAATTATAAACAGCATCTGGCAACGCTCAAACCCAGAGAAATGTGTGTGGCACATGAAATTCAAATAATATAGAAGACTGTACAGTCAGTAAGGATGCCATGAGAGCAGAATTTCAGTAGTTTCTACCAAAACCACGGTTTCACGGTTCTTGATAAAAATTCTGATGCCACAGCAAAACTGATCACACGATTTTATTTAAATGGTTATAAATAAAATTATATACGAATTAAAATGTATATATTAATTAAAAATAACAAAGATTAATATATACTTAAAAACATTAATTATATTTTAAAATGATGACATGTAGATGTAGCGAATCAGCTCATGGGGAAATATGAATAATTAATCATAACTAGTTATAATTAATTATAAATATTTAGATCCGCTGTAGATATTTACTTGACCTCTCAGGGTCAACTGTCTGTCAATTTTAAGAACGTTAATTTCCTGGTTAAGGGAAATAACTTTCTTACTGTACAACTCTACACAGAGCCTGTAGCATAAATCTGCATGATTAGGGACTCCAGTTATGAGCAAACAATGAACAACGTCAAGTGTGATACAAGTAAGACTTTATTAACTACATAAACACTTAAACTAGTCTAACATACACATACACACACACACACACACACGCATACAGTTGGTATAGGAGAGGGTTAAAGCTTAAGCAGTAAAGAGGAGAGAAAATAAAAATATGAAGTTATGGAACCATTTGATATTCAGCAGATTCACACCTGAAGGAAACATCAGATTCTTAGTGTCAACGCACCATTGTAACAAGGTACCCATGATACTTAATGTATCAATTAATAAAACTAAGTTTGAATACTTGCACGTCTCGTCTGTCTGAAAGAGAGGCTTGATGCAATCTGAAGGTTCAAGTTGATCTTTGCTGAAGTTGGTTGATGAAAAAGAACCAGTGTGAGTCAGAGAATCTTGGTGAATGGAAAAGTCAAGGCCGAAGCCTGGCACGAACTTAGTGTGTCCTGGAGCGTTGTAGCTCACATCATCTCACATCATCTCAGAACCTAACAGAACCACCGACTAAGGTGGGTCACTGATGTGAGGCCTTTAAGGTCCAAGAAGATTCACGCCTCTCAAGATGGGCTTGTCCAACGAGAAAGGCTGAAATCCCAAGTGGGAGGTTGCCATTACTGGAGGGTTTTATGACCCTTTGTGTGAGGGCATGGTAATTTGCAAATGGAACTCGAGTGGGTGCGTGATGAAAGATTACTAAATGTTCTTAGAACACTAATATGTTGCATAGGTATAAACATATAATATACACTCTCAATTAGATAATTCGAATACGAATTCATAGAGACCAAACATGGTATATGTAAGGTTACATGAATGAGTGGTTATATCATAAGCATGCATAAAATAGTCTACAATGCAACAGACAATATACAAGACAGCAATAATATACACAATGACCTGAAGGATATGTGTGTTCATTCACAGAAAGGTTTCTGGACTATAGAAGAGTCCATTTTGCTGTGCATTATGTGTCTTTCCTATGAAAAATGTAGTGAGAGGGAGGACTCTCAACATGCCATTAGGTCGTAAAATCTATCTGGTCTAGCAAAGGTGTCAGGGTTGCTATGGTAACCAGGGTCCTGGGCCTCGTTCACAGGCATCTTGGCACCCAGTATGTTTATTGGGTGAGGGGTCTGTGAATGTTTGTTAATCTAATGAATAATTGATTTGTTAAATCAAATGAAAAATGGTGTGTCTGATTGGTCCAGACGCTACATAGACTTCAATTATTGGTCTATTACACTAAAAAAATGTTAGCCATTTTTTAAGATTTATGCAATGTAATAGTAAAATTGCATCAAATTTAATCAAATTGAATAATCCTTACCTATTTTAACTGAATTATCCTTAATCAACTATTCAATTAAAATACATAAGGATTATTCAATTAAATTTTAATTGGACTATTAATTGAATTGTGTAAATCTTAAAAAAAGGCTTAATTTTTTGAGTGTATTTAGTATTATATTTATAAAAATATATAAAGTATTTATACATATAATACTATATATAATTAATTTATTAAATTGTTATTTAATTAAGGAAATATTGTTTTTAGAATTTAGAAGTTTTTAAGTAAAGGGTCAGTAATAAGGAAAAAACATTAAGTTGTTTTCTCTTTTTTAAAATAAAAATACATCAAATATTTTTACATATAATTAATTATTCAGTTGTTATTTGATTTAGAAAACACAATTTTAGGTAGAAGTTTTTAGGTAAAAAGTCAATAATAAAGAAGAAAAATGCAATAAGAGCAGTGAGCAGTTTTTTTATTTTTATAAAAATACATAAAATATTTATATAGAATTATTAAATTGTTATTTTATATATAAAAAAAATTATATAAACTTTTTCCAAGTAAAAAGTCAATAATAAAGAAAAAAAGTGATTAGTTTCTTTCTTGATAATATTGTTGTTTGATTAATATTATTTCATATTATTATTTAGCCAGCATCAGGTCTATTAGACTGCATTTAGACTGCCTAATGCACAGACCTGATATTGCAACACAGATCCATCCTGTTTTTGAACCGGTTTACATTTACATAAGACAAACCGACTGTGTTTACATTAATTGCTTGCCAATACAGGCTTATGATAGGCTTATAATAGCACCAGAAAAGTCACAGCTTGGTCATTGCCTCACCAATGCAATAAATGTGCCGGCAATGCACATAGACCTTTATTTTGTAAAACGCACAACACCGCAAAGTCTTTCTCCACACCCAAAGTTGCACAAATTTTGTTAAAAATTGAGTCCTGAAGGCATATGTTGTATTATTTTGAATATAAGCCACAAGCAACAGAACTGAAAGGAAGCGGTGGCACTAGGAAATGTGCAGAGTTGCTTAAAGTTGAATTCACGCTGCCAGAGGCAGTGACGGGGTGTGTGTGTGTGTGTGTGCTCACCTCTCAGCCACATTCCTGGCTGTCTGGAGGAAGCGGGCGTGATCGTTCTCCTTCAGGCTGTGCTCAGCCTGTGTGATGAGGGCACTCGAGCGCTCCAAACACTGTCTGCAGTTCGCAATCTGCTGGGCCAACTTCCTCAACTTCATCACCTAAACCCACACACATGACTTTTACAATATTCACATTCTTACACAAGAGATGAATGCTGTGCTAATAACATTATAAATGTTTAAATTCTTCCTAATGGAGTGCATTATTATATAAAAATCATTATCACCCCTTAGCTCATCATCACAGCTAAATGAGCCCTTTGCTTTGTTTGTTTTTTGTGTAATTACAGCTGAGAAACAATTCTGATTTTCAGTTAAAAAACACTTTTAAAGACTCATATAGCGCAGATGCTGGATTAGCACCAGCCATTAAAGACTTTGCCTTTTGTATTGGATGTCTGTAAAACATTTGTGAGCCAGATCAATTACACGGTCTCAGAGATGTTAACAAGAAAATGTTTGATGCACAAAAAAACATTTCCCAATACTATCAATGTTGAAAACAGCCGTGCTGTGCAATATTTTTGTGGAAACCATTTTTTTTTAGGATTCTTTGATTAATAGAAAGTTAAAAAGAATCGCATTCATTTCAAACAGAATTTTTTTTAAATAGAATAAAATCTAATGTCTTCACTGTCACTTTTGATCAATTTAATACTTCCTTGCTAAATAAAAGTATTAATTTCTTAAAAAAAAAAAAACACGACCGAGGCCAAACTATTTAATGGCTTTGTGTCCTAAATACATTCCACAAATTATTCAAATGAGATTATACAAAAATAGGCATTACTACATTCCATGCTTAAATATCAGACATATTGGTTTGAATTTACAGAAAAAAAAGAATTTCCAGCAATCTTATATATGCCGTTACCTTCATATAAAATACTCATAGCATGAAATAAGATTTTGCTCATACCACCCACAATACCTGACCACAGATTTACTATGAATTGAGCTTTCCTTAATATAACCCCATGAATATAAGACATTAGCTATGCGTCCTCAATAAGCCAGTAAGTCGGTTAAGCAGGATCTAGCCTATGCCACAGTGTAATTCAATAGAGGAATGGAACGTTTGACTGGAAGGAATGATTGGAAGCATTCAGATAAATCAAGAAACAAGGAGAGAAAAATGTTGCTCGGCGTCGTAGTGGATTGCATTAGATCAAATCCCAATATGACCCCATTTCTTAAAGACAGCTTCAAATGACTTGCTTTGATCAGATGGTTTACTGCTAAAAGGTTTCGGAATTTCAGGACGGCATTAAAGAAATTAGACTGCCTCAGAAAAATAAATAGAAAATCATTCAAAAACAATCCAGCAACAAATCAGCCTGAACAGCCAAAGCCTCAGATCAAATCTTGCAGACACACTTTGCATATGGGTTTATGATTCCAAATGCCTAAATTTATTAATGCTAGAGATACAGGCACTTTGAGCTGGAGCGGCATTACTGATGTTTGCAAAAGGCCAGACATAATCTCATGTTGCAGGCTGTGCATGTCAACTCAGGGTTGCCATGTGAGAGTACATCACTGAAGGCCTTACGTAGACACTTCTGATGGACATTACTGCATTTGTCCGTGTCTCTCACATCACATTACCCAAAAACAGACAACCACAGGCCTGTCTCGTGGCTCAAATCCCCACTTGATAAGAGTGTGAGTTCAGGCTGTCGAGTTAAAGTGCCTGTGCGCTGCACACTCACTCTCAAACACAAAATGCTACACACACGCTGCAGACTGATGAACTGGAGCAGAAAATCTGACTAATCAGTTCTGGTAATTTTTGAAGAGTGTCAAAATATAAAACATGGAACAATATATGATTGCTCTTTGTACAATTGACAGCTCGGATCCTACAATCTGATTGGATCATCCATGTTCAAAGCTGTTGCAAAAGTTGATGCATTACTTGACTATTGTAAACTGCTTACATTTGAAGTCATATTTAAAATTGTTACATTTATTACTCATTAAAAAGAAAATTTCATTTGAAATTTCATACTCATTTGAAAGAAATCTCTTATGCTCACTCAGGCTACATTTATCTGAATAAGAATACAGTAGAAATATGCTGATTTGCTGCTCAAGAATTTTTTTTTTGTTATTATCAGTTGAAAACAGTTGTGCTGCTTAATATTTTTGTGGAAACTGTGACCATTTTTTTCAGGATTCTTTGATGAAAGTTTAAAGTTCAGCATTTATTTTAAATAGAAATGTTTATAACATCGTAAATGTCTTTACTGTCACTTTTGATCAACTGAATGTATCCTTATTGAATACAAATATTATTATGATTATTATTTTTGTAATATCATATGGAAACTGTACCTTTGAATGGTACTGCAATAAAAAAATTAATAAAATAAATTAAAATAATTACATTTAATTATATATTAAATATTGGTATATTTTATTATTATTGCCAGTACTACTACGCTATTAGTCTCTAGTTGTTTAGTTCCCCTTCTTATCAAGACCCCGTTTCTGTTACACGAGGGAAGCTTGTTAAATGAAGCCACATGGCCAAAGTTCGATTCAACCAGCCAAGCTTCCTGTTATATTTTCAACAACCTTGTTCAAGTAATATCTCTACACTTCACTGCACCCTCACTCGACGCCGGCCACCACACTTTGATCTGACAACATCCTCACATCCACATTATTACTCATCTGCACCAGTTTAACCTCAAAGTTCACTCAGAAGAGATTAAATAGGGGAGTTTTTAATTCACAAAGGGAAAATATGCTGTGATTTGCCCAGCTATTTCTCCATCTTCTCCAATCTCTCTGCTCAGCGTAGGGCCCAACAGACCCTGACAGTCTCTCTCTCTCGCTATAACAGGGGTAGTGACATGATCTGAAAGATGTGTTAGAAATGCCAGCTCCGTATTTGTGCTCCATGTGACATATTGTCAAGAATCAAATAGCTTTCTCTAAGTGAGTGAAGGATTGAGCTCTGAAAATCTGTTTCTCTCCCATTTGTGTGTCTTAAAGGAACAGTTCACCAAAAATGAAAAGTCTGTAAACAATATTTACTCACTCCCATGTTGTTCCAAACCTTTATAGCTTTTGTTCGTCTGTAGAACACAAAATAAGATGTTTGGACAACTGCTTCAACTGCTTTTGTCTGTATAATGAAAGTCAGTGGGGTCAAAAATAACATTGAGCCCCATTGACACTCATTGTATGGACACACACACACACACACACACACACGTTTGTTTTTGTGAATTGTGGGGACATTCCATAGGCGTAATGGTTTTTATACTGTACAAACAGTTTTTTCTATTGCCCTACTTCACCAACCCTACACCTAACCATACCCCTTACAGGAAACTTTGTGCATTTTTACTTTCTCAAAAAAATAAAAAAATAAAACTAATTCTGTATGATTTATAAGCCTTTTGAAATATGGGGACATGGGGCAATGTCCTCATAAATCACTTTCTCCTTGTAATACCTATGTCATACCCATGTCATTATACAAATTTGTGTCCTCATGTGTCACAAGAACGTACACACACACACACGCATTAATCTTCTTGGACGACATGGGGTGTAAATGGTGTAAATGAAATTTCCATTTTTTAGGTGACAATGAAAGAAGCGAAAGAGTTTTAACTTCCACCTTGATATTATACTCAGAACTTTAAAGAGTTTATAAATTGAATAGCAAATCGAAAATTTCCTAAATGTGTCTCAAGTGCTTGATACGAATCTGACTTAAAATTACAATTCGGGCCGCCCTAATCTGTCTCAGTGGTGCAAACAGAGAGAAACTGTACCTTGGACTCTTTGATCTTGACAGCAATGACCTGTTTCCTCTGGCGAATTATCTCCACCAATTCATCACACTCCTCTACCAGTTTGGCTTCATGCATGGCTGTGTTCACCTGCAGATAAGAGCAAAGAGTTTCATTAAAAAATACAATGGCACTTAATCAGTCCGCTGGGATAACTAAGTTACTCCAGCCTCTCTTCAGTTCATGCAAAATCCATGAGAATATCAACATCATGTCCTGTCTGGAGTGATGTGGACCATATCATTACAGAAAGGAGAGACATTTCAGCCTGTAAGTCCATTCCTTCCTCAGATCATCCCTGAATTTAGACAAAATTGTGACATCCCGTCAAAGATTCCTGTACCACTCTCTTAGATCCACTTAAGCTGTTAATCAAGCACACACTTTCACACTCATGCATTTGAATAGACAATTAATGCACATCCTGCTTAATAGGGTTCAATCTCATTAAGAAAGAACAGAAGCCAAGGACAGCACTAGCCCAATATTTTATTGGATTTCGGCTAAGCAACTTTTGTTGTCAAGCGGTATCCACTCACACAGAAGAAACCCGCTCAATACCAGACAAACCCTATGGATTAATCCTTTTTTTGGAATGTCTATAAAATAAACAGAGAATGTTCTGTTTCACTTTCAAAAACTGTACATTTAACAGTATTTTACTGTAAAATTGAGGTGGACAGCTGTGACATTAGAACTCTTTCAGTTTTTCATTCCTTATAGAATAAGAGAACTTACTGTTAACCAATTAACTGTTTTTTAAAGTAGCATTTTCACAGTCTTTTACAGTTAAAATTGCAACCATTTCTATGGTGTAGGCATCATTATAATCAGAAAAATGCAAACTTGTGCAATCTGCCTGATTGATAAGAGTGTGAGTTCAGGCTGTCAAGTTAAATTTGCAAGTGTGGCATTTTACACAAAGTTGAGCATTTATTATCTTTTTGATGATTTGCTGTCAATTCCATAATGCCCAGCGCAATCCTACCACTCGAGAGAGTAGAATAAAAAAACGAGCCAGCGGACACAAATGGTTAGTCTGAAGGAAAGCAAACTTCTCTCTCTCTCTCTCTCTACCACCATCTCAGAGTGCTCTGGCTCAGTGGACGAGTGCAATGATGGATGACTCCTGCTGTTGATATGTTCCTTATCAGACCTCTTAACACATCATCCTTCCAGGGATTAAATACATTCCCATAGCTTTTCTTGGGACTATAAAAGACTCTTCTGAGGTTGGTATGAATGTGATGAGTGGCACCCACACCCTACCGGTCTGCCCTAAGTCAGCAATGACTCACTTGGCACTTTGGCAGATTCATGCTGACACTTTTAAGCGTGGTGCTGTGCACAGACGTTTTGTCTATGCATTTAGACTGTCTTGGATTGGATTAATGTTTATTGGACACTTAAAACATGAACAGGTGATTTAGTCTGCACTCTCTTATAAACACTTATGCGGAGTCTTTAAAGGAGTTTAACATGGATTTTATCTAAAAACTTTATATAGTTAAAGCTGATAACTGAAATGTTGTAGTTGTTAAGTGGCAAAATCTAAGGTTGCAAAATAGTTTCAAAGAAGCAAGTCAGGGTATTCAAAACTACATTTATAATGCATAAATGTAATGCAATGTAGATGCAGTTTGTAGCTTGCTCCATAGGGAAAATTGCAATGTAACTTAGTGCCTTTGCGACGCTGTGCAATGTAAGCCACATAATAAACTAGACTTGCATTTCCTGAAGGAAAACCAGTGCTTAAAATACAGAAAAAGAATAGTATTGAAGCATTATGATAGTTTCAAAAGTCATACATCCGAATATGGACAAAGAAAGCTAAAGATGATGAGATGGATAGTAATACACTATACTGAGGGAAAAGAAGAAAGAAGACCAATGACAATTTTAGAATGCAAATATTAAAATAATGTAACCTCTGTTGGATGAACATTGAACATTCTAAATCAGAGGTGTCCAATCCTGCTCCGGGAGGGCCACTGTCCTGTAGAGTTTAGCTCCAACCCCAATTAAACACACCTTTACCAGCTAATCAAGGTCTTACTAGGCATACTAGAAACATCCAGGCCGGTTTGTTGATGCGAGTTGGAGCTGGACTGAGTTTGGACACCCCTGTTCTAGATACAATTTTTATTATATAAGTACAATAAATACTATATATATATATATACAAGAAATACTTCATATATATATATGAAGAGTTCATTTGCAAAAACCGATAAACGCCACTTTAAAAAAAAAAGAGCTGATTGCCGTGCATTATTCTCCACATATAGCGCGATCTGAACCCTAAACACATTTTGTCAAAAAAGCCGGTTTTGTCCACTTTCAAGGCATCACGAGTTCATGTTTTACTGCAGAAGCCGACAAGTGCCCTTGTTGTTTTTGAACAGAAGCCGATAAATCCATTTTAGCGAATCAGCGCGCTGTGATCAGGTCAGGTGACAAGGCTACTTTCACTTTGAAAAGACGTGCTAGCTGAGAGGAGTTTCGTCAAAGCTGACTAAAAGTGATCGAGGTTGGGTAATTTCGATGAACTTAATGAACCTGTGATATTTCTTCAGGGCAAAAAAGGATAATAAAAGCTGAAACATTTTCACGAAACCTGGCAGAAGCAGCGCGTTACAATGGTGAGGGAAAAGCTCTGTGTATTGCGTGTAATCACATCCATACAGTTTATGATCACAACAACAACAACGTTTGTCAGGCATCTACATTGTCATCTGAAGAGATTACAAAGATTAAACAAAGATCTAAAACATGAAATGTGGAGTTATCTGCTTTTGCTATAAAACAAACTTTTAATATGTAAAAAAGAAAAATTTAAATGGAGTTATTGATTTTTGCAAATTAACTCTTCATATACACACACATACATACATACATAGGGTTGCCATGGTTACCAGGGTCCGGGGGTGTTACGCCTTTCGGGGGGAAGGGTCCATAGGTCCTCATATGTTTTGTTAACTGAGGGGTGTTACAGAGTATTTGTTAAATCTAGCTAACAAAATATATATTGTGTGTTTGATTGGTCCAGACTCTACATATATATATATATTTAGTTTAAAGTGTTAAAAATATTTAATGCAATTAATGCAGGGGCGGAGCTAGTGTTGACCACCCCACTCACAACTGTTGCTTTTGTCTCTTTTTTCTTGACAAGAATTGCGTTTTCAAAAACAGATGCAAACTTCTTTACGACATCAAATGGGACACTTTTGACACACGCTTATAATTTTTTTGTTTGTTTGTTGATCACAAAGTACAAAATAGATGAGGAAAACTAGGATGGCGGGCATATTCAAAGCGCCGACATTACTGTCTAGAGTGCGTGGAGTGGTGTGCTGTGATTGGTTGTTACTGTTTACAGTGCGTGGAATGGTGCGGATATCGCATTTTGCGTAAAATTATATATATATATACAGTATATATATATATATATATATATATATATATGTTGTATTTAAGTATATTATATATACTTACTATTATTATAATATATAATATAAATGATCAAATATTATTATATAATATATATTTTAAGTTTAAAAAAACAACGATAGACATGTCCCAGGAAAGAACACTGTCAGGGCGTGCTGGCCTCAAACGCTTAACCCCATGCATAAACGAAGAGACAATTGGCACACCCATGGGGCATTCCCAATGCGTCATAGCTATGCAGAGTTGAATTAACCTATAAAAGAGAATTGTGATAGATACTAAGAAGACAAAATACTGACTAAGAAAACTGTTAGCACAGGTTCTGTGGAAAAAAACATGCATATTTTTTGCACATTTAATGGAAAGAGACTCAAAAATGTCTGCACACACTTCAGCAATTTATTTTTCAGATTAAGCCCATATGCTAGTGTGCGCTGCATGTAATGACTGCGACAAGACTCATTATTGACAAGGCTCATCAGTTCCTGACCTTTATCTCTTCATACTGCCACATCTTTAATCTACTAATCCACAGGGCGGGAAAGACACTGGATGCTATAAAAAGGTTGTTAATGAGCTCCAGCGGTTCACTTTGGGTACATAAACAATCTAAGTGCTGTTGAACAGATACCACTGAGCAGAGGTCTGTTTTTGAGGCAGCTCTGATTATTGTGTATCTTGCCTGCATGCTGACAGATGGGGCAGGTCTGAGTGCTCTAAGTGCACGGCTGTACAAGACGCTCCTATGGGGCCTGCCTCGTCGCCGGACAGTCCAAGTGGCCCTGTTAAAAATGGATGAAGGAGAGGCATATGCATAACAGCATGGCAGCCCTCACCACATTGCTGCACACATGTCCACTCGGTGGAACAGCAACACAACAAAGCGGCCCTTTGCACCGCAGGGCTAATAACCCACAGCAGCCCAGAGAGGGAACCTGGAATGTCAAAGAGGCAGTGATGGACTCCAGGCTTCAAATCACCAAAGGTAAAAAATAGAAATTCCCAACTGAAAGTGCAAAGTTCCCCAGACACCTACGGTCCCTTGACAGCATCACTCGTGAGTTATTTAAACACAGGCTCTCTCAGGATATTTCCTTCACTGTTAGCAGTGACACTTTTGTCTAATGGAATCTATGGTAAACTTTGCTATGGACACTATTTTTCACATAACGCTTACAAAGACCCCTGTAAACATCTCTGCAGATGTCCCTCTGAAGCTACACGAATGCCGAAGGGTCTATTTGTTAAGAGTTTGCATCTGCAATACATCGCATTCATTCATTGTCGAATGCTAGAATGATATTCAAGCAGATGTTTCACAACAGAGCGTGTGAATCTGCTTTGAGACGTTTATCAGATATTTGCAAATGTGACCCTTAAAATAGAAAGTGATGCATTCCATATAATGCACTTATTGACTTAATGGGTCATACCCAGCTATATAGTATGGAGGAAAGAGAATATTAATGATACGAGTTCAAGTTTTACACAAGTTTTACCATCTCAGTGTTCTCAATGTGTTCACGTGACACACTAACAACTGACAACGGTTTATAAAGCTAAATATGCTGCTTAACTTGAATGAATCACATGAAAACCCAGACTAATCCAGCCTAACTCCCATATATGGGTTGTCCTGAAAAATAATTGACAGGCTGAAAGCACCTCAAAAGTCTTCTGATTGGCTAATCTGGTCATTAGAGCACATTCCCGTTCTAGCGATAACATCTGAGGCATAATGTTTGTCAGGATCCTGCCCTGACAGCCTTGTCTGTCTTGTCTTTGTTCAATGTTTCTTTGTTTATCTTGTGCCTGAACACATGGTTGTGTCTTTGTTTTTGTTGGCCATGTGCTCCTCTTGTCCCGCCTTGTCAATTTCAATAACCACACCCCCTTGTTTAGTCCTTGTTCGTCCGATTGTGTTCAGCTGGTCCCCGCCCCCCCCCCCCCCCCCCATCCGTGACCAGCCTGTTCTCTTGTTGTGTACCCTGCCTTGTTGTGTGACTGTCTCCCCTGCCTTATCCTATGGTATTCTAAGTCTGCTAATAAATTGTTTCCCCCGTCCATTCTGCAGTTGGGTCCTTCCGTGAAAGCCTTGACAATGTTAATTACCACAGAAGATCATTTTGATTCTTCCCCTTTTTTGGATCTCAATTTGGCCAAAATAATGCACTTACAATGGAGACACATCATGCCAGCAATACAGAGGGTTTAAAGAGAGCCATAAACAAATTTTGCCTCACTTGTATGACTTCTTTCTCCCGTGGAACACAAAAGAAGATATTTTGAAGAATGTTTATTTTTTTTTCCATTTAATAAAAGTCAATGTGGAAAATCAAAACAGAACTAATAAAATAAAATAAAATTACACTGAAGACAGAAATTCATGCAGGTTTGGAGGTTTGGAACAACTGTCTGTAAATAGACGTTCAATGACTGACAAGCTGTTCGGTGTATTGAATAATTGATCTAGATTTTAATAATGAAGGAGAAAATGGCATGGAATACAGTTAAAAATGTATTTATTTATTTTGGATTGGTTTAACAATTTTTAAATCACCTTGAGGGTGTTCAACTCAATATAATATACGTAGCTGGGGATTTACTGCGGAAAGCTGTGTTTAAATGCTTTAAAATGAATGGCCTTCACCACACTAACTCACTAAGCTGAGAAGTGAGCTACATTCTTTGAGTGCTCAAAGCAGCTGGTGGTATGCAGAAGTTTTTTTATGTGCGGTTCAGCTGAGGTTAGAGACGTGCTACGCATGCAATCCCCACGGGGTTCAACAAGACTGATTCAGCTAATGAGTAACAATGCCTTGTCACCTGCTTTCTTTTCTCAAACAGCAAGGACAACCATCCTGACAGAGTCATTAAAAGGACGCTCGCATATGAATTTCCCTTGTGCCTGATGTCTTAGTGCTGATCTTCAGTCATATTTGGAGTAACAACAACTCGCTCAGCCGATGTTCAAGGTGACATCAAGCAAAGGTCTAAATATATCCCTGGTGCCTTGTTTGTCGTGCCTTTAATAAGCTCTGATTTAAAGATAAAGGCTACTAATTGACTTTCAAAAGGACTGTTTATGTGTGCATAAATATGTCACATCACTACCAAGCTGTGGCTGCAAATATATGAACATGTAACATCTTGGTGGTAACATCAATTAAAATGCTCACCAAGGCTGTATTTTTTGCCCAGTAATACAGTAATATTGTAATATTTTATTATAATTTAAAATAACTGCTTTTCTATTTTAATATTTTCAAATGCAGTTCATTCATGTGATGGCAAAGCTGAATTTTCAGCATCATTACTCCAGTTTTCAGTGTCACATGATCCTTCAGAAATCATTCTAATATGCTGATTTGCTGCTGACGAAATATTGCTTGTTTTTATCAATGTTGAAAACAGTCATACTGCTTAATATTTTTGTGATCAGTGAACACTTTTAATTTAATTTTTTGATGAATAGAAAGTCCTAAAGAACACACACACACACACACACACACACACACACACACACACACACACACAGAGAGAGAGAGGGATAGACAGACAGACAGACAGATAGTTAGATAGATATATAGATAGATAGATAGATTTTAGGGGGAAAAGTAAGTAATTTAATAACAACCGTGAAACTGACCCTATGTTAGCATATTCCAGAGATTTTTGTAAGTTTTAAACTGACTCTATGACTCTTCTTGACATCACTGAGCATTCACTGCTGAATTTTACCCATTTATAGACAATTTGTCTTACTGTGTGGACTGATGACAAATGTGTAGAGATATTTCTGCTTTAAGTAAGTCAACAATGGTTAATCTTCAGCATTCAGACATCTCTTTTGTACGAGGTATGGTTCACATCAGGCAATACTTCTTGTGAATAGCAAACTCCATTTTTTTTTACCCTGATCCGCACTTTCAATCTTGTCTCATTAAGTAGATTCTACATTAGTTTTAGCTAAGATATTACCTTAGGGATTCACATACATTTTCCACTTTTCATGTAAATGTATCATTGTGTGTGTAGGATATCAGACCGAATCAGACAATCTAAGATTTGGTCAAAACATGGTTGAAACATGAGACGAATTCCACAGAGGCCCAAGACAACAGGATGTTCATAAATCAGATCCTGGCCCCAAGCCTGAACCAACTAGCAGCTTTGAGTAGCTCACAGCATTTAAACAAAAGAACACTTATTGATAATTCCAAGGAGATTGTCAATTTTGGAGCAAGTTATCAAGAATAATGGTCAAAAGAGATGCATAGCTTGACTTGAAAAGAGAAGTATCTCGTGTTTTGTGCTCACAAGTTAATGTCTTAAACTGCCGGCCTTGTTACCGTGCTAATTAATAGTGTTTTCACTATATTTTGGATATAAATATCCATTGCAGAATTGATGGCATACGGCTCGTTCACTGAATCGCTGGCCGTCTCAGTGATCAGCCGTAAAACAGTGATTCTGTCCAAATTCCCTTAAATATTATTGGTGGAGTTCCCTTTAAAATCTTAAATGATTCCCTTTGAGCTAAATTGACCTGTTTCCCTTACATGTGTATAATACTTGCTTAAGCAGATTGTGTGTTTCTGTTGTGATCTGGTTAAAGATTAGATAAAATATAAACAGGAAACCAGGTTAACTTAAGTTACTTTTAATGATAAACCACAGTGGAATATTAACAAATGGGAGAAAAAAAAGCAAGAAAAAAGAAAATAGTATCAAATACAACTGAATAATTTTCTGCTTGAACAAGCATCTCTATTAAACTGTGTAGTAGGAAATCTTTATGATTCAGACACCTTCTATGATGCCTATTTAAGGGTCTTTCTATTATACTGACCATGAGTGAATGCATGTATAGTGCTAGTCTCTTTTATTCACAAGAAAAGCATTTACCAATCTGCATTCATAGTGATACTATAGCCTTTGGCTCAGCAGAAAATGAATGTCAATGTAGAACTCAAGCCAATACAAGCCATGCAAAAGCTGCACACTGGACTGTGAATTAAAAAAAATATTCATAGGCACTTGAGGAAGATAGACACACAATTCAAAAAACATTCATGCACACATCCATATAAATGCAAAAATCATATGCAAATGAGAAATATCAAATATACATTATTCTTTACGCTTTGTAATTGCATCCCTGGAATAGCCTTGAACCTCTAACAAGCATTTGTAGCTCAAAAGGGCAACATACCTTTTGTCACTAAAAATAAAATGCAAACTAATTTGTTTGAACATATTATAACATATAAATTTGTTTCAAATATCTGAACATGGATTTGAAAGTCTATAAGAGGGAGTTTGATGATGATGGTGATGTGAAGGATGAAGAATATAATGATAAATTTGCTTGGACTCACCTCCACCTGTTGACAAATCTGGATGAGTTTGGCCATCTGGTTCTCCAGCTCACTGTTCCTCTTCACCAGATTGGTTAAGTTATTCTCCAAGGTTTGCTGTTGGAATGGCAGAGACATGGCATTTAGACAGAATGAATCACTCTAATTCTGCCTGACATAGACAAGCTTTTTCCATTCATCCCATCAAGGTATTATATACACAAAACCATTTTTTAAAGAAATTAATACTTTTATTCAGCAAGGAGGCTTTTAATTGATCAAAAGTAACAATACAGATTTTTGGTGGTCACCAAATCAGCATATTAGAATGATTTCTGTAGGAAAATGTGACATTGAAGTCTGGAGTAACGGCATCATAATTACATTTTAAAATATATTAAAATAGAAAACAGCTGTTTTCAACTGTAATCATATATTTATTTTGATCAAATAAATCAACGGAAGTCTACAACCCAATTAGAATATATGAATTTTGTGCCATTCAAATTATTAAAAACAACATCATATAGGTTTGGAACAATTATTTTTGCTTGAACTACCCCTTTAATATAAATATACATTTGGCTTCTACATTTGGAATTTAAAACTATAACATAATACATCTGCTTTCAAGGGACTAAAACTGTGTTTTTGACGGCAGCAGATTCTTTTTCCCACTGATCCTGATCTGTTTTTTTCATGAATTAAGGAAAAACACTGTGCGGATGATAATGTTAGTGTAGGTGCGCATGGATGAATGATACAGAGTCCACAGAGATCCCACAAAGGCGGATTAGATTCAAAACAAGCAACTAACAGCAAATTAGTTCCACATCACAACCTCTAATCGTCACTAACGAGAAACTGTGTGCGCTGGGCTGAGACTTTCACACTGGGGGGGTGGGGGGGTGTCCTAATTCATGAGCTCTAGTGTACACTTTGCAGAAACAGGTTTGTAGCAATTAAAGTTTAATAAGCGGTTTGTGGTCAGAAATGGTTAGTTTGGGTCACTGTGAGAACGCTTGCATTTTTTAGCTCATGAAAAAGGGATAACGTACTGTCCAATATTATTGAGTAAGGGAGTTTACATATACACTACATACAAAAGATGTATGAGGGTGTTGCATTTCATTGGTGTTGAATCACAATGGGGAGAGACAGAGAACTGTGTAATTACTTAAAAGAGTCGCACATGCTTCATTAAAACACAAGTTTGAAAGATAAAGAGGGAAATCGTAGCAACAACTTAAAGAGAGCTGTCCCATCATGCTACATGAGCAGCTGTATGAAGTGATGACCCACACAGCGGGAGAAAGAAGAGAAAGACATGAACGAGATGAACAGCTGATATTAATGACATGAGAGGAAACAAAAAAGCAGCCCGTGCGGACTGAAAAGCAGGAACGATGGGAACAACAACATCGGCATTCAAAAGCGAGAACAGAGCCTTTATGTTCTCTTGTTTTGTGTTGTTGGCTATTCATGCATATGTGATGCAGCCTGACCCTGTCCACCGGCATGTCCCCCCATCTACGGCCCGAAACGCCGTCTTGCACACATCCAATACATAGATTGTAAAAGGCAGCCAGTGACTCACCGCGGCGCTTGTCTTTGATGCCTCCATAACCGCTTCAGAAACTCTGGCAGGGCTCACTTGAAAAGCCTATGAACACACACACATACACACAGCCTTACTGGTTTGGCCCACTGATGGACGGAAGTATTATTGCCCCTGCTCTGTCCGACGACTGGTTTTCAGCCTCTCGCGTGCTTTATCTCTCCTGCTCTGCCGGGTAAATGGGCTGGAAGCACCTCGGAGCAGGTGAGGGTGTCTATGTCAGACTGCTTATTCTCTGTGCGCTGATAGCTTGCTTTACTCGGGGGCTTGTTGCGTCAGGCAGTCGCAAGTCGCTTGTTTGGTGTGTCAGCATTTTAAAATTCAAGCTCACCCAGCAAGGACAGATGGGGGTCATTAATTAAAGACTGAACAGTCAAGGATGATTTATACATCAAAACCAAGTATCACCTCCCAGGAGACAGAAGACAAGCTGCCGGGGGTGAACGAGCTTGGAGCCCAATTGAGTGAGGGAGAGAGGGAGAGAGAGAGAGAGAGAGAGAGAGAGAGTGTGTAACTGATAGTGAGAGGAAGGCAATGAAAGGAATGACAGAAGGAAGGAAAGAATAAAATAAAGAAACAAGGAAGGAAAGATATTAATGAATGAAAAAAGAAAGAAACAGATGGAAGGAAGGAAAAAAGTGAGAAATAAGAGGAAATGTAATGAAGGAAGGAACAAGGAAGGAAAGAGAAGTAAATGAAAGAAAGACACAGAAGGAAGGAAGGAAAGAATGAAAGAAAGAAGAAAAGTGAGAAATAAGAAGAAAAGTAAGGAAGGAAGGAATGGAGGGAGGAAGGAACAAGGAAGGAAGGAAGGAAAGAAAGAAAGAAAGAAAGAATAAAAGTGAGAAATAAGAAGAAAAGTAATGAAGGAAGGAATGAAGGAAGGAAGGAACAAGGAAGGAAGGAAGGAAAGAAAGAAAGAAAGAAAGAATAAAAGTGAGAAATAAGAAGAAAAGTAATGAAGGAAGGAATGAAGGAAGGAAGGAACAAGGAAGGAAAGATAAAAGTAAATGAAAGAAAGCAACAGAAGGAAGAAACAATGAATGAAAGCAAGTAAGAAAAGAAGGACATGAAGGGTAAGAGTCAATGAAAGACACAAAACAGAAAGAAATAAAGAAATAAAGAAAGAAAAAGAAAGAAAGAAAGAAATGAGGACAGAAGGAAGGAAGCAAGATAGGAAGGAAGGAAGGATGGAAGGAACGGTGAAAAGAGCATCTGAAATAATGAAAGAAGAAAATAAGAAAGAAAGAAAAGGAACAAACAAACAGAAGTAAGAGAAAGAAAATAAAAGGTAGAAGGAGGAAAGGGAAAAAAGAATAATAACAGAAAAACAAAGGAACCGACAATAGAAAAAAGAGGAAAGGAAAGGAAAGGAGGGATGGTGAAAGAGAGAGAGCGGAGTGGCCTCAGGACAGCAGACCTGGTGCGGTTTGGGCTGAACAAGTCTGATAATACACACTCATTAAAGCAGACACTAGACTTCAAAGACACAGACACAGCCATGCAAGAGGAAGAGCAGAGAGAGAGAGACTGAAGACAGAGACAGAAACACACATAAAAACTGCTTATCTGATATGAAACAAACACGGTGCTGCAGTACACAACTGACACTGTGGCATAAGTGAGTGAGAGTGAATGATACGAAGGACTAACAATCTAGGCTGTGTTTTGGGTGAATTTACTATCGTTGAATTACATCTACATATACTGCTTTTATTAGCAAACGATTCACAAAAAGAATCAAATAACAGCTTGAATGTATCAAATGAATCAAACTCGGTTGGAAAGTTCTAGTCCAAATGATTCAGTTTGACTAGACCTTGTTATCAGATAAGAAATTATCCCAGATACAGAGGGAAGGCGAGATGTACAAGATATTTGTTGAGTTGCTGTTTGATGCTCACACTGTAGGCGTTACATGCTTTAACAGGCGTGCGCCGCGTCCATTAAGTTCTGGGTCAGAGCTACAACAACAACAAATCCTGAAAAAGAATTCCATCCTGAGGCGAGAAAACAGACTTCAAAGTGGGTGTGTTTAATTATTCTGTGATCCTCTCCTCTTGTGTTTTTTGAGGGAACACAATGCGGAAACACAGCAACCACGCTAACAACGGGCGGTTGAGTGCGTGCATGTGTCAGCAACCAGAGCCTGCTGGGAAATGTCGCTTGCTACGGATAATATTCCAAACCAGCACTCTCCAGAGACTCGCAAACTCGGTCTAATGAGAAGCCACTGCTGTTTCTTACCAGCCTCCGTTCTTCTAATTAATTAGACAGAGTCATTTAATTCTGTCTACATTACCCTTGTTTGAGGCTTGTCTGGGGAGTGCCATTAAGCTTTTAACACAGTGGAATACACCACCTTCTCTTCATCAAAAATAAAAAAATCAATCCCATAATGCGGTGTTTAAAGCTTTGACCCCATCAAACCATCTAGCATGCCAATACTTCTAATACAAATAAAAATGTTCTGTTGAGGTTAGACAGTGCAGGTGTTTTGTTTTTTCTCTCCTTGAGAACACTTTAACTATATGGAAGATTATTTCTGGCACAATACATTTAAAAAAAAAAAAGGTAATCGCAAAGTTAACATCTCACAATTCAGATTTGTTTTCCTCTGAATTCTAAGTTCACATCTCACAATTCTGACTTTTTTTCTTATAATTTTGAGTTAACATCACGCAATTCTGACTTTTTTCCCCTCGTAAATCTGAGTTCACATCTCGCAATTGTGACTTTTCATAATCCTGAGTTTATGTTTCGCAATTCTGACTGTTTTAATAATTCTGAGTTAAAATCACACAATTCGGACTTTTTTTCAGACAATTTTGAGAACACCTAACAATTCAGACTTTTTTCTCGTAATCCTGAGCTAACATCTCGCAATTCTGACTTTTCATAATCCTGAGTTAATATCCCGCAATTCTGACTTTCTTCATATTTCTTTATAGAGTTAACATCTCTCAATTCTGATTTTTTTCTTGTAATCCTGAGTTCACATCTCGTAATTCTGACTTTTTTCATAATTCTGAGTTACCATCTCTCATTTCTGACTTTTTTCTTGTAATCCTGAGCTAACATCTCGCAATTCGGACTTTTCATAATCCTGAGTTAATATCCCGCAATTCTGACTTTCTTCATATTTCTTTATAGAGTTAACATCTCTCAATTCTGATTTTTTTCTTGTAATCCTGAGTTCACATCTCGTAATTCTGACTTTTTTCATAATTCTGAGTTACCATCTCTCATTTCTGACTTTTTTCTTGTAATCCTGAGCTAACATCTCGCAATTCGGACTTTTCATAATCCTGAGTTAATATCCCGCAATTCTGACTTTCTTCATATTTCTGAGATAACGTCTCTCAATGCTGATTGTTTTCTTGTAATCCTGAGTTAACATCTCGTAATTCTGACTTTTTTCATAATTCTGAGTTCACATCTCTCAATTCTGACTTTTTTCTTGTAATCCTGAGTTAACATCTCGTAATTCTGACTTTTTTCATAATTCTGAGTTCACATCTCTCAATTCTGACTTTTTTCTTGTAATCCTGAGTTAACATCTCGTAATTCTGATTTTTTTCATAATTCTGAGTTCACATCTCTCAATTCTGACTTTTTTCTTGTAATCCTGAGTTAACATCTCTCAATTCTGACTTTTTTCTTGTAATCCTGAGCTAACATCTCGCAATTCTGACTTTTCATTATCCTGAGTTAATATCCCGCAATTCTGACTTTCTTCATAATTCTGAGATAACGTCTCTCAATTCTGATTTTTTTCTTGTAATCCTGAGTTAACATGTCGTAATTCTGACTTTTTTCATAATTCTGAGTTAACATCTCACAATTCTCACTTTTTTCATGCAATTCTGAGTTTACATCTCGCAATTCAGCTTTTCTCAGCAAAAAGTCTGAATTGTGCAGGTCTACAATTTTGTTTCTGGTGTCCTTTGACAGCTCTTTGGTCTTGGCCATGGTGGAGTTTGGAGTGTGACTGTTTGAGGTTGTGGACAGATGTCTTTTATACTGATAACGAGTTCAAACAGATGCCATTAATACAGGTAACAAGTGGAGGACAGAGGAGCCTCTTAAAGAAGTTGTTTCAGGTCTGTGAGAGCCAGAAATCTTGCTTGTTTGTAGGTGACCAAATACTTATTTTACCGAGGAATTTACCAATTAATTCTTTAAAAATCCTACAATGTGATTTTCTGGATTTTTATTTCTCATTTTGTCTCTCATAGTTGAGGTATACCTATGATGAAAATTACAGGCCTCTCTCATCTTTTTAAGTGGGAGAACTTGCACAATTGCTGGCTGACTAAATACTTTTTTGCCCCACTGTATAAACTCAAAATTGTGAGATAAGTCGCAATTACCTTTCTTTTTTTTATTCCACGGCTGAAATAAGCTTCCATACTTCCCTGACCTCACATTCTCTATCCATCTACGTATTCCACCGGGAACAGATCATCAGCCTGAAGACCACAGAGAGGAAGACATGAGACTCCACCGACTAACCGGCTTGAAGGTTAAAGGGACGAGTGTCAGAGGAATTTGCTTGCTCTCATGGGGAAGACGAATACCTTGAGGGAAAATGTGCTTCATGCAAAACAACTTAAGAGAAATGTGTTTGAGTTAATTACACCCACTGAGGACATTAAAAGGAACGGAATTGCTAAATTAGACAATAATTAATTTTAATCAAACGCAGAGCTTCTTTGAGCAACACAGAGGCGCCTCCGCTTGTCAGAGTCTGAGGGAACAGGGACACTTCAGCTTCTACCAACAGACATTAGTGAGGTTACTTAATCATATTTAATTTATAAACAATATCAAGACAGTGCAGGATTAAAAAATATTCATTAAATATGCCAAACAAGGCTCTGCAAATCAGGGCAGTTTTCTTTCCTGTGTTTACTATATGTAGCTCCTATTGAAAGGTGGGAAATATTGAACTTCCCTTGTAAAAAAGATTTTGGGCAGTCTTGAGTTGATGGATTTCACAGAAAGTCGTGCAGTCTATGATGGGCACAGACTATGAATCCATC